TGACATTTGCGACTTTTATTTGCGGTTCTTATATTATCATTGAAAAAACAAGTGTTTCGTCTCGGACTCTGTGTGACAGTTTTACGAAACTGACAAAACCAAAAGAAAATTTTATACAAAATATCAATTGTAACTGTTATTGAATCGTACAAAAACTTGTGTTTTATTACTTACTTTAAAAAGTAAAAAGTGTTTTGTGAAAACCACCTTTTTTAACATTCTTGAAGATGGTATCAAATCGTCAGATATTTAGACAAGGTGTAAGGTTTCAACTTCAAGTATTTTAGGTACACCCGAAAGCTGAAACTTTGACAATAATAAGATAATGAGCGTTTAAGTATGGGATAATTTCCCTCTTGTGGCATTAACAATAAAGATATCTCGTTTACTGGTGAATAAATTCTAGCACTTTCCTGGAGATATGTGCAAGAAACAAGTCAAGCGTATACGTGCAATACTGGCACTATCTCTTGCATGTTTCAAGAGATATTATGGGCAATGTGGAACAAATAGCAAACAATATTGCACTTTAGATGCAGTTATACTATTTCATGGGAAGTGAGATTTTTTAGATAACGAAACCGAGTCCAACTCAGTGACTTTCAATTGGAAGAAGACAAATTTATTGGGACTCTTGGGCACTCGGCTGTATACATTTAAAGTGCTTGAAATCCGGTCTCAACAAAATGGTCTTCACTATATTACGATTTTTAGTTGCAACCAGCAATTTTATTGCCTTTTACACGAGTTAAATTAAAGCAATCGCGCCATTTAACTTGTAACATTGAATTAGCATAATCAACTGGACCGATATTCTGAAGAACGGACGGGTGAAGGCCGCAAAAACGGTGGTCAAAACAAAACATGCTAATATGAGTTTACTGTGGTAGTTTTGTTGGCTGGAATAAGTGTAGCGACACGCATTTTTGCGTCTAGAGGAGTTAATGGCGAATCATGCGAAACCATAAAACGGTCGATTCAAATTAATTAAAGTGTAGTTAAACGATAATTGAAGGTAATATAAGGAGGCATTTAAACTATAAAGATAAAATCGGACAATAAAGCTGGATTTTATATGGGGGTCTGCGAGGATTGAGTCGACTGGACCAGAGTACGAATCAAATAATCATCGACAAATTAAAAATGCAGTAGACGAAAAACCGATCGAGCAGATGGAAAGTTGGGCTTCTATTTGGAAATTGTGGTTGTGTTTCAGAGTTTTTTTTACAACAAATAAGTGTCGGCGATTAAAAAATTGCTTCTGTATCCCAAAACAACAGTAAAAAAGCTTGCCACTTACCTCCATCGGCATAACACAAACAAGTAAACGATTTGAAACATCCTGTGTTTCTTCAAATACAAGTTTTCATAGGGCCGTTACGAACACAAACTGCAAATATCGTCGTGTTTGTTTTAAATATTAAGAGTGAATAATAAACAGTGCCACTAAAATAAACTTGAAAGTGCACAGACATGAGTTCAATCGTAATTTTAAACCGGGTGGGATTAATAAAAATTTTCTTCACAAGTTCATAAAAATACCAAAATAATCATTTTTTATTTAGAACCAACAACAAAAAGCATGTCTCAAAACTAATTGAAAAAAAAAAACTACCAAAAGAAAATGTTAGAATTTTTTATTTACTTAAAAACAAATATTTTAAGAAAATCTGGCATAATCCCACTATCCATAATTTTCAAACACAAGATACACGAACCTACCACAATAAAAACAGCACCTACAATTTTTTTACAATAAGCAAAAGTCTTTTTTCGTATTTCTTTGATTTTATTTTTTTTTTTTTGACGTAAGAACAATGTGGTGAAATTATAACTTCCGAAATGTAAATTATTATTCCAATGCTGTTAATATGAGAGAAAATACAGTAAGTTTTTTATCATCCGGACTGTTGACTTTTCTTATCTACCCTTAGCACTGCACTACAGTTTTTTTCAAGATAAGGGGAAAAGAGAATATGTCTGTACTAAGAATAAGACAATTTGATATTTATTTTCGAATTCTTTTCCAGTGGCGTGCTTGTGGGTCGCATGTTAACCAGCACCCAAGCTCACGATGCCAGTCATCACTGTCACTTTTACACGGCGTCCCGCGCCACCCTTGCACGACAATCGCGCATAATTGCATTATTCAATATGTCCATAAACAGAATGCTTGTTGTTTATTTTTCCGCTACCACATCTTGCTCATCTCCGTTTCTCTGTCTATTTTACAGCCACTATAATTTTTTTATCGCTTGCATTTAAGACCAGTTTCATCAAGCTTAAGAAGCTTTTATTCCACTAATAAAATCCGGTTACGAGCACCATGGCCACATTTCGTTAGCGCTTATTTGGAAAAATGGCGGATGAACAACGCCACCTGTACATTTTTATGACGTCTTTGTACGTAATCGACCAACTTCATTACAATACCTTCATAAATATTGAAGTTACGACGTAAAAGTTGTCTTTTTTTTTGTTAACTACTTGTTGGGATCAGATGGCGGATGAAGATGCTAAAGTTATTGTTTGGGAACTAATGGAACAAAAAAGGTAGCAATAGAAATTAATCATAATGATTGGCGCATCAGTCTGTTGCATATAATAAATCAAAACAAAATTGAGTTAGTTTATGCTTCGATGTTTGACGTTCGATTAATCAATTTTTGGCAAATGAAAAAATTCGACGCTCGATTAGACTCAAAGTAAATAAAACATCTTTGAATTTGTGTGAAAATGATGTTTCTCAAGGTTGGCAGCTAAAAAAAGATATTTTTTATAAGAATTTATTAGCCATATTCTTATTAAATATACTCTACATACTGTCGTAAAATTTATAGATATACCTATGTCTTCACATAAGATGGAGTTATTGGTCAGAAATAAAAATGGACTCGACTCCATAATTTCTATATTTAATCATCACTTTAAACGCACATAAGAGTAATAAACAAAAATAATACAAAAGCACGTTTCTTTGTTTTTTTGTTTTTCGTTGTTTGTTTGTTTTTCTTCAGTTTTTCATTGTAAAAAACTCATATTTTAATTATAATAATTTGACGTTACAAAACAATAATCGTACTTTACAAACAAGTTACTGTAAAGCCAGATAAAATTATACGTTTTTGTTCAAAATTGTTAATGTTCTTCAGGTATTGCAGTCCTAAAAATATCTAATTTTTTTTAGACAGGTCAAGATGGACAAGTGGTTGAACATTTTATCGAAAAATGTCTTAATTATCGTTGTTACACACATTTTTTTATTACTTTTATTTACCTTTTGTCACTATTTCAGAATATTTTCCTTTATTTTTTGACTCGCATGGGATAAAATAAAATTTGGTTGATTTGTGAGTTTTGGGACAGGCCGTATACAGGCTGCGCCAAAACTCGCGCCCCAGAGAAAAATTTCAAGTAAGATAAGATACCAAAAAATGTTTAAAAAATTCTATCTGCCAAAAAATTTTGATATTAATTTTTTTGACATTTGACATTTTTTATGTCTATTTAATGATACTGATGATCTTGTAACTTGGAAAATTATTTTTCCAACAGAAATAAATAATGTCAAAGTGCAAAATTTAAACTTTCATAACTTTGAAATTTTTATAGATATAATTTTTTCAACATTTTTTCCAGGTTCCTGGTATCTTACCTTACATGGCATTTTTCTCTGAGGCGCGAGTTCTGGTGCACCCTGTATTAAACTAGAAATAAAGAAATAAAATCAGACTACTAGAAGAAAGTAAATATTTTGACAATGTTTATTGTTGGTGTTAAACTTTTATAGATCTGGATTAAGTGCTACCAACTGTGTCTGTAAAATTAACCAGAAAAAAATACTATTTATTTTGATTCTTAGACACATTTACTTTTCAAGTTGTTAGTTGAATTAAAATTATCGATTAATGAGCTAGGAAAACCAAATGAGGGCACAAATTCTCAAATTCCGACCGAAAACCAGATAAGTTTTATTATGAGTGCGCTATGATGATTAATGCAAATTAAATGAGACCCACCACGAACAAACATTTACTTCCAATCAATATTTAAAGTTAAACAAATTTATAAAAATAATAAACACATTAGGAAACGAAATTTCGACGTTTTCGTCACTATTTATTGTGAAGCTTTGCGGTAATTCGCTTTAGGAAAGTTATTAAAATTATCTCTAAACTTTAAACCTTTTCCCTCGCTAATCTCCCTATAATTGCAGAAAACACAAACAAGCCCAATTAACAATATATCATTGCTGTCACCTGATATTTATTATTCCCGATGTGCGGGTGTATGCGATTACTTATTCCCGTAGCACGCGCAAAAAAACTTCATAAAGAACCGCATACACGTCAAAGTCATACATATAAAGCCGGTAAAAATGAGTTTTGTTATTGCAGAAAACTAGCATTCACGTGGGAAGTAAGGTAATATAAATGCGGTTGGCTTAAGGCAGCTAAATGGAAGGAAAAAGTTGATTTAGTAAGAGAAGCGAAAAGATGTCGTTGAGAATTTCGTGGGAAAGCTCGTTAGCAACTCGGAATAACAGATGTAAAATGCAAATAAAAGCTCCTTCGACGAGGTGAAAGTGTCGCAACGTTGATTGCTCTAATTGGTGGAAGGAACAAGGGAATGTTGCTGGAGGCGAGGCAAGGAATGTGCTGAATTCTTGCCAACAGAATTTATTTATGGCAGGGTTTTTCGTTTTGGGGTGTTACTGGTGATTAACATTTTCTGGTTAAAGACCTAAAGTGGGATTTATTTCTGGATATCAAATTTTTATTCAAATACTTGAGCTATTTAGAATAGCTCTCTTTTCTCCTTCGTTCCTAATTCCTTAAAACCGCCAAATCGCAAAAAATCCAATTTCGACAATGCTCCCCATTTCCATTCGAAATTTATGACTCCCGGAGCCATACGTAAATAAAATCTAATTCATGTAAGCAAATTGGAGCGACCTCCTAACTCCTCAAAAACCCAATTATCCCCCGATAGCGACTCACCCCGGATGGTGCTTGCTGTAGGGGTTGTAGCGGATCCCCGTCTTTTCGTCGACCACCGTCACATCATTGATGTTTCTTTGATGATGAGGTCGAGCGGTCGTCGCGACCGGATGATATGGAGGGTATGTCGAGTAAGGGTAAAAGTGGCGTGCCTCACTCGCGGTAATCAAGACAAACACCAGCGTAAGACACAACTGCATTGTGCGTACTGCAACGCGCTTTGGGGCCTCAACACGTGAGTTCTTTCGCCGGTACCACCGCGTGGATCACGTGATAAAACTGCATCGGTGCATTACGATGAATGGAGATGCTGACGCTGGAGGCGGCTAAGAAGTTGTGGAGGGAGAAGGGAGCACATGGAGGGGTGGGATATTCAAGCTTTTGCACAAAATTTATATTTTACTTTGATTATCTAGGGCCAGCTTTTGCAATACTTTACAAAATTTGCTTTATATCAGAAATTAATGGCAATTACTGTCGGTTACCAAAGCCTGGAGCTTCTCGTTTGGACTGGGCCCACACACAGTGTCAAGCTCTAATTGATGAATCCGAATTTTTCCCAGAAGATACTCTTAACGAGATATTGAAATATCGCTGTCGATCTAACGAGGCCGAAAATTGATAGCTTTTTGGTCCATCGACGGACTAATGTCGAGTGACAAGGCGAGAAATTGAGTTGCTGAAATTGTATAACTCTTGGAACAAATTTAATAAGGCCTAACTTGTTATTGTCAAAAAACACAATTTAGAAAAAAGTGTATTACTTTCGGCTAGAAATGATAGCGTGTTCGTATATTACGAAACACGAGTAAGTTTTATTTATGGCTCGAGAGAAGAATTTATGACGCAATAGTACACAGGGTGTAGCCAAATTTATTGCAGTTTATGGAAATATAACAAACTTGCAGGATTACTTTATGCAGTAAATTCGGTTTAGTCGAATGCAGAGATTAGGTGCACACGTTGCAGACTTGCACGAGAAGTTTTAATCTTTATTAATAAAGCCGAGTTGAATCGTTTCCTTAATTTGAGATAAGTTGTGAGCAGTTTTTAGATGAACCAAATGTTGCTAATTTAGCGTGGCACTTGTAAAAAGTATTTCGGGGAAAGTCTATGACCTCTGTGACATTTATGCGAAAAAAGTGTAAAATTGAAAGAAAATGGTTTCGTAGAAATTGCAAACAGGTCTGTCTTTTTGGCTCGTTAATTAATTCAGAATGCAGACTCTTCCGTTCCTTGTAAGAAACGTGACCGAAAAGTGAGGGTTTTATTTGAAAAAAGACGAAAGAAGGAATGACAAGGGATTCTTTCTTGAGCTGTCTCAAAACCGCAAACATAAAATTAGCAGCAAATACGCGTATGCAGAAGAGATTTAAATAGAATTCGTTCAGAAGTAAAGATAAAATTTAAAAAAGCATGTATTATTAAGAAATTTAAGAACTTTCAATGTATAAGGCACTTATATACTTACGTAAGCAAGCTCATATTCCATTAAAATCAATATTTTTATACCTCAAATAAAAAGTTGCGTTTTTTGTAATAAGTAGGTATTGTTTTAAAAATAAAAAGTAGGTATTTACCCTGCATAAAATTTTCAACAATTTAAAATTATATAATTTTTTTATGGTGCATAATATTTTATTTATTTTATTGCGAGAAATATCAAGAAAGCATATTTTCTTTTCCATTTCTTTGGTTGTAAACTCGCCGAGAAAGGATTTGCTTTAAATTACTATATTTAAAAAGCCACTTCGAGCGGTGGCTAATAGACACTGGTAAATTAGAGCTGTTGTATCGCAAAGACCCAGCATTCTAATTTCTTGTTTACTACCTCATCCATTAGTCTGCACTTCGCAGTCACTTTTTCACTTCTTTTTATTGCATAGCGCATCCCATCATTAAAATCAAGGCCGCTGATCGATAATTACCTCGATAATATCTCGCCATCAAAAATGGGTCAATCCTGATTGCTTCTAGTGGTAATGCTAGCCAATTACAGTCCATTGAATGTGTTATTTCTGCACGAATCTGAAAGTCGTTACTGTAATCACGCTCCGGTATTAAAAGACATTTCGATGCTTGATCCAAAAAGGATGAAGCTTCTCTCATGCATGTGCTTTTAATTAAACGCTTGCCTGACCCAATTATGGTGCGGTCACATCGATGTGTTATCCTGCAACCGATCCCGACATTTACATCATTCAATTATTGCAGATTCATGTAATGGAGTGATTCACACCGAATCCGTGCGGTTACGCTCTTAATTGCTGCGGTTGTTCCAATGATTCAGTTTAGGATTAATTGGAGTTTTGTTTGCAGAAAGGGGCTCTTGGTAAGCCAATGTCCGATAAGGGCTTATCGAAGGTTTGTGGAAAGGGCAGTTGGCCGAGATAAGGTACCAAAACAGTATCTTAGTGTTTTGATACTTCAGCAAATAAGAGAAAAGTTTTCCTGATTTGATTTCTCAATTTCCAAATTAGAGAATCAGTTCCTGACAAAGTTGTAGAGAAACTTTTTCCAATAATCCGGGAATAAATTATCAATTTATCTTCTCAAACTTGCGCTTAATCTACTTATCATTATTTTCTGAACGTCAAATGATACAGAACTATATGATTCGGGATTCTATCGCCCCTAACGGTAACTAAATTACGAAGAATTGGAAAAAAAATGTATCAATATTTATTCTGTAGTCGTAATTTGCAAATAGGTATATAGTGTTACTTTCTGAAGAAAATAGAGTATAAGTATCGATATAAATCATATTTTTGAAATGTTGAACCAAGGCTCACTTTAAGTAAAAATTCTTTTACGTTTTCTGGTGCTTAACAACTCTTGTCACAAACTTTTCCTTGTTTTTTGCTGGTTGAATTTTCTGATATGGACTCTTCCAGCTAATAGTTGGATTTATCCCAACTTATCCCATGAATGAAAATACGCAAGGAATTACGATCAAGGGCTGGAGCAGCTCCGGAGCGCCGGATCAATAGAGGTGTGAGCGCCACCTGGTGCTGGGTCTGTGTTGGCGTCAAAATGGGCCAAGGTTGCCGAGTCCCAATTTCACTCCGGCCTGGAGTCCTACTTCGGTCCCGATTGAGCTTTTCGCTGCTTGATTTTACTTTAGGGAGCTTTAGTTTGAAAGTCATAGCGAAATATATCGCACTAATGACGTTCTTTGAGTTGATAAGCATTTTTCAACGAAAACTTCCCAACTTAATTAACTCATTTTGTAAAATCGAAAAAGTTTGCTAATGTTGAGAAATTCATTAAAAAGTCCGACGCGGTCAGCCGTTTCGCACGTCTCTTGAAATTGACAGTCGGTTTACAAGAAGCAGAAGAAATAAAAAATCACTCGAAACGTTTGGAATTATGCCGCGCAATTTGTTAACATCTTCAGGGATTGAAGAGTGGGTAGGAAAAAATTGCTGTCTTTTGCATTGCATCTGTTAAAGTGAACATACGTGTTTTTTTCTTTGAATGTTTCGTACGTTGGAAGACTTGAAAGTTGGAATATCGTCGCAAAGTTGAGTATTTTGTAGGCGAATGTGTTGGTTTTATAAGTTCAGTGCTGTTGGTATTGAGAAATAAAACAATTTTGCGTAAATGGAGTAAAAAAATTATACCTATAAAAAGTGTTGAATTTTTATTTATTATTATTGGTTTTTTAACAAATAAACTGATTGTTTCATGATCATTTTAAAGATTTCGCCCAATGATCATAAAATTCTAGTAAACTTATCACCCATTTTTACCTTAACTTTGTATATTAATAGAACCGAAAAAAATAAATGTAGATTTGTAAATGTACAAACTTAATAATAATTTTTGATTATGATGACTGTGTATAATATAAGTGAAGTTTGAATAATAAATAGAGAACATAACTCAATTCGTCCGATTTATTATTTTGGTCTAGTTCCAAATGAAGATGTTTTCTAAGTTTACAACTCTTCTCCAAAACTTTATACAATGCCCTAATAAAAACCACCCCACTCGGGCCTTAATAAATTTAGTTTTGTTTCCTATTTCCTCTGTTTTTATTGCTAAATCCGGAAACTTTTCGTTCGATAAAAAGATAAAACCATGTTAAAATTCTCAAATTTTGAAAACTAAAACCACACTAATGTCCACATCAACATCAGTCTACTAATTGGCGCTCCCCTCTCACCTCTTGTTTTGGATTAATTCTAAAAGAGATGAAGTTACATCCAAGAGCGGGACGTGCGTGCGTGAGTAATAGTGTCGGTGGCCCGTGTACCAGATGGGCAAAGATAAATGACTCTACGTGCGACATGTTCCACTGTACTAGCCATTAATTACTCTGTTGTGATGCTATTATCCGAGGCACGGCACCAATTTCCTAGTTATCCAGCTGACAATATTGCGAGTCACGTCCAGGATTGGATAAGCGAAACTGCATTCGGATTGGTAATTGAAAAAGGAAATATTGCAGGAGAGGCGTTACAGGAATGCCATTCGGATGGACAAACTGCTGAATTTTCGTTTAGTTTGCAGGGAAGTGCACGCTGATGGCGCCGGATTATGAGAATGGGAGCTGTTGGGAGTTGGTTCGTTTGGAATGGGATTTTCTCTAATTAGGGTCGTTCCCGAGAAATGTCTTACACGACATGTTAGTAATGGTAATACGTGGACATTCTCAGGAAAGAAAGAAGTTTACTAACAATTTATAGCACACGACAATGAGAAAAAATTAACTACTTAACAATAAAATAAAATCAATGAGTTCTATTGTCCTCAGGCCCGTAGCTAGTGGGCAGTGGGGGGGGCAAGTACTTTAAAACTTTGTGTTTTTTAACAACTTTCTTTAAAAATAATAACGCATAAAATTATAATACAGACTGAACCATAAGTAACGCACACAATTCATATCTTTGTTATGAGCCATTTTTCAAAAAAATTCTCGAACAGGTCGATTTTATTTTTTTAAATGCTGCATTTTGACACTATAGTGATATTTATGACGTCATTCGTTTTCGGATAATGGCGTTATTTTTCTTTTTTTTTTAAATGTCACCCCACATTTTTTATTACTGTTTAAGATAGTACAAAACGTTATCTTTCTGGCAAGCCTTAAAAAATGCAAAAAAGAAGAAAACAAAATAAAAAAACTTAAAAAAGTTATAAAACTTTTTAGAAACTTTCTTGCTTCATTTTATAAGGGGTGATTGTTTTTATTGTTTTATGGTTGGGTTTCATATTACATAAATGTTTTCATGCTAATTATAAAAAAAATATACAAAAAACAATTGCGCCTTATAAAATAAGCAAGAATAAAAAGATAAAGCCTTTTGTGTTAAATTGTCAATGTTTTTTTATTTTTTTTAATTTATATTTTTAAAGTTTTAGTTTCATTTTTTAATTTTTTTTTATTACCAGAAAGATAAAGATGTGTGCTACTTTTAAAACATTAAACAAAAATGTTAGTTAACATTAAAAAAAATAAAAAATGACGTCACAATTTGAAAATGAATGACGTCATAAATGTCACTATAATGTCAAAATATAGCATTTAAAATAATATAATCGACCTGTTCGAGGATTTTTAAAAAAAACGACCACTAACAAAGATATGAATTTTGTGCGTTACTTTTGGTTGTCTGTATATACATATATATACAAAACTGCAGAACTGTTCTAAAAATTTTGGACGCCCTACCTAAAAATTTATAGCTACGGGCCTGATTGCCCTACTATAAGTCACTTCCAGACAGTTGAAGAAGACAATTCGTAAAGACTAAAAATTCTAAAATGGACAAAAAAATCTAATACACAAAACGTAAGGAAGAAATCAATTTATTTCCAACCATCTGTGTAGTGACAAACAAACGTATTATTCTAGACTTTTAGTTGGGCAATAAACTTTATTAAAAATACGTTTACATTTAATATTTTTGTATAAAATATACAGTAGTAAAGTAGTGGCTTAGCATTAAATCTCACAATAATCCTAAAATTTTATGTACATGCAAGTGGTTACTCTTTCAAATAATCGTTATCTCTAGATTCAAGATCTGAAGAAATCAAATGGACTTCGGACGTAGTCCGCTTAACTGATAGAGACCTCATTTCTTGGTAAGTACGAAGTTGTAGATAATAAAGAACGCAAACTAAGACGAGGGTGATCCCAATCAATACAAAAATCCAAGCATTTGCGCTACTTCCGCCCCCCATTTCAGCTGCTCTAATCAAACTGTCTTTGTGGTAAGTATGTTTGTTCTTTGGTAGCGCGTCCGTCTGTACGCACTTAATTACATTAGCCTCATTTCTGTACAAAATAAACTTGAAATTATCTTCGGCGAAATAATCCTCCATTTCTTTTTCTAATCCGCAGGGTAAAAAGTTGTCTTCCAGATTTAAATATGCGATTTTAGGTAGTCTGGATATTAGCCTGACGTAATCTACATTGGAGATATTGTTGAAGGAGAAGTCCAGCGTGTCCAGGCTGTCCAAGGAGAACACTCCGGTAATCTCAATATCCTCGATAACGTTGTGAGAGAAATTTAATACTCGGAGCTGAGGCAAGCCTGAATATAGACCCGTCTGGAATATAGATAACCTGTTGTCGGAGAAGTTCAAGTATTGGAGATTATGCAAACTTTGCAGCGTCTTCTGGGGCACTTCCGTGATGACGTTGTTGCTGAGATCTAAGATTTCCAAAGCATGCAGACCCTTGAAAGAACCAGCCATTATTCCACTGATGGCGTTAAACGATAAATCTAAACGTCTTAATCGACTCATCGAGTAGAATTCCGACGCCGGAATTGTCGTTATGTGATTAAACTTGAATCGAATCTCCAACAGAGACGTCAAATTATCAAACTCCTTCCCCGTCAACACGGAAATTTTATTATAGCTGAGATCCAGAAGTCTCAAACTCGACAGATTATTGAAAACACCATTGACATCACTGATGGCATTGTAGCTCAAATCCAGCTCTTGCAAATGCACCAAACCGTTGAAGGCCGACGTTGCGATACTTTTAATTTCGTTGTGTCGCAGATTTAGCTCCTCTAAATTGATCAGTTCGAGGAAACCGTCGTCGGATAAAATACTGATTGAGTTATTCTCCAAGTCCACGTAGGTGATTTTCTTCACTCCGGTGAACGTTCCCGGATAGATCGACTTAATAGCGTTGTTGGCAAGGATCAAACGCTGCAGGAAAATCAAGCCAACAAAGGCTTTCTGTCTGACGATCTCGATGAGACTATTGGACAAATCGAGGTTTTTGATTTGGTTACCGGAAATATCGAAACTTCCGGTTTCTAGAGTCTGCAATGAGCAGTTTACACAGCGAAGGGTCTCGTCCAGGTGGTCAAATCTGTAAGGGGTGTTCTTGAAGTAGCTGGAGGTGGCGTTTACACAGGTCGCAGTTAGAGAGCCTCGCTCACCATACGAGCATTTCATAAGGTCATAGGTGCTCATTCGGAGGTATACGGAATTGGTGTGGGGAACGGCCAAGACCAGCAGCAGGGTCAAACAAGGAAACTGAAAAAAGTTACACTATACAGAGTGTCTCGGAACTCGCGCTTCAGAGAAAAATGCCAAGTAAGATAAGATACCATCAGGAACAGAGACATAATGTTAAAAAAATTCTGTCTATAAAAATTTTGCAATTGACCTTATTTGTTTCTGTTGGAAAAATAAATTTTCTTGTAGAAGAAGAAACAAAGAAGATGTGTCCTGATCATCGATAACATTAAATCTATGCATCAAATAGACATAAAAAAGGTCAAATGTAAAAAAAATAAATGTAAAAATTTTTTGACAAAATTTTTTAAACATTTTCTTCCATGTTCTTGGTATCTTATTTTACTTGGTATTTTTCTCTAGGGCGTGAGTTCTAAAACAGCATGTATATACATATTAAAATATTAAGCTGTAAACATTGCTTTTCAACTAAATTCGAAAGTTTTTGTTTGTCAAACTCAGATGTACAGAGTTTTTTGTTCTAGTAAAGAAGCAGAATTGTGTGATTTTTTTAAAAGAAACACTTGTTTCTTGACTTGAATTTAGAAGTTTATTTTTAATTGTATTTCTTCACTTGTCGAATAATTTTTTGTCACCTGTATTTTGTTTATTTGATATTAAATATTTGATGTTATGCAATTAGTCTCTAACGTGAGATCATTTTTGAAAAGATTCGAATTTTATTTGAACTTGATAACATATGTATGTATTTAAGTAAACTTACAAAAATCGGGTCAATAATCTTTGATAAGTCTGTTCTAGATGGTGCTGTTGCAATTTAATTTAATTAAAATAGGAATGAGTCTTATGCGAATTTTATTTTGTTTGCTTAAGATTAAAAATTTAGAATACTTATATTTTTATTTTATTACCTAATTTATGTAAATTGTCTTGTATAAATCCAATTTAAATATCCTCTATTAGAATTCTCGTAACTGCAGAGAAAAAAATCTTGCCTTTTCTAAACTTGTAATCTTCTCTTATTTTTCTATTTATATCTAAATCTAAATATTTATGTTTATTTTGAAAATGCAGGTAAGTAAATAAATACAACATGTTCGCGAGAGTGTTTCCAACTGAAAATTTTAGTTAATATTGTTTAAAATAATTTGTAGTTTATTTAAATGATTTAAATTAATTTAATTAATCTTCTTTTTCAAAATTTTGCAACATTTCCAAACAAACGTAAGCTCTACAGAAACAGGAAAACGGAATTAAATAAATAAATAGCAGTGTTCTGTGATAAGGAAAGAAAGAAATTTGTACTGCGTTAAAATAAACAATTCATTGCTTTTAGTTACTATGTAAAAAATAGTCTTATAAAGTTGTTACAGTCTTTGTGAAAAAGTTCTTTCTGTTACTGCCATTTGTTCGAATTTAGAAGGAATTAACCTTTAAAAAATATATTCGGAGATATATTGCGACACCACTACGTATTTATTTTACACATATTTGGCAAAAAATAATGTGTGAGAATTTGGAACATTATGGGATTATGAGATGTCCAGTTCTGCTTCCTATTCTAAGTTGTTTATAAAACGTATCTTGTTTTGAACAATTTTCTTATCCTTGACGTAGGCAAGTAAAAAAAAACTGAGAAATGATGCAAATTGTTCAAATCACTTTGTAGTGGTCAAAGACTGAAGCGAAAGCAATGACCATAAAATGATTTTTTTGTAAAAACTAGTCATCACTCATCATCACCTTTGACTCTTTTATCTGTTGATACTGTTTACCAAAGAATATTCTCCGTTTTATTTAATCAAATATACTAATATAGTTTTCGAAATGTGTATTTTGAAAAACAAAAAACTAAATTCACTCAAAATAAAATAATGTATATAAACTTACCTTAAAATTGTTCATTTTTAGCCAGCACTAATGTGTCAAAAGTTGCACAAAACCACTAATGACACTGAGAACGTGTAATCTGACAATTCAGCAGGAAGACAGAGTGATAACAGGCTAATAGAATCTGTGTATCATTTCCGAACGATCCTCTAAACGAGAATGGTCTCATTTGCTGTGATTTGTTAAGAACATCTATCGTTTGCATTAATGCTCTGTATTTATAATAAACAAATGTTATCTCGATAAACTCTTGGAAATTTCTTATTTGAGAATTGATATAGAAATTGTTTTGTTTGGGACACGACGACATTTCCTATATTATAAACTCAACAATTCTACTAATTTTTGATTTTATTATCACATTAACGGAAGCAGCGCACCTGAGAAACTTATTTGAAAAGCTTTGAGAAATTGGTTTTCCATTATCTCACAATTTTAGTCACATAAAGAAAATGTTTCGGTATTTCACATTTTGCCATACCAGGAAAAATGCAATTAAATTTTATTTTTTAAATAAATGATAAATTTTAATAATCTAAATTTTATCGTAATTTAGTGACCAGAAAATGATATAATATAAAAATTATGTGATAATTTCCACATTTAGTAACGTTGGTGACCTGCAATCAGAATTTATCCTGCAGCGCAGTGAAGATAAGTGAACGCGGTTGAGTCACAAAGAAGACCAAACTTCAAGGATGTTGGCAGATATTTGCACAATTTCCAAAAAATTACTAATAAAAGTCAGGAACAAGGTCAACGGCTTTTTCAAGAAATGTTTCTACTTATTGTTTGCTGCTCGATGGCTTAAAAAATTTCATGCGGTGGCCACGCAATTTTCTGATTTTCTTTTGAATGCCACTGAAGTGCGAGTCATTAACGATTTGAAACTCATTCATCCCCGCTGTCTTTTTATGGGTCAGGTTTTTAACGAGTTCTCTTTTAAATTCAAATTTCACACAATGTTGGAAATATCTCTCTGAGCTCGACTTCCAAAAGAAGTGGTATTTCCATATTTAATACTAGTTATCATTAATTTATCAATCACTTATAGAATAGAAAATGTGTTAAGTATTATCATAACATAAATAATAAAATACATTTATACTAAGAAAATTATTATCGATTGGATAATATTTTTACAAATTGCGAAGTAAACATATTTTTCTTATTTTAAGAATTAGTAATAACCATCCCAATTATTTATTATGTGATAATTTGATAAATGAGTACTGAGACTGTGTACAACAAGTTTGTAAAAACTGATTTACTCATGTTATTATTAATGTAAACTTTAATTAAAACTATTTTTATTTCTATTTTTTTCTACCTACATTTAATTAATGTAGGTAGATACCTATTACCTACATCAAACATCAAATAACATACTTGAATATGTCATGGAAGCTCGTTTAATTGGCTGCCTATGTAAAAATGTTTAATATTACGGAGGCGATTGAAATGGCATGGGTGTACTTAGTGTTTATCAAGAGTTACTTATAGGTATTTATCAGTCATTAAAATTGCTTAAGTTAAAATTAAAACTATTAATTTAAAAAAAATTAGGTAGGTACAATTGTTTTTCTCACATCATTACATTAAGTGAAAAAAAGTAAAGAAGAAAATTAAATAAAATGTAAATAGTTGTAATCCTTAGATCATTGCCTTGGTAAAAAAGGTTTTATAGTAGGTTGCCAAAAAATAAATAATTGCTGAAAAACAAACAAATTTTTGGAAAAATTTTATTTTTCATAAAACAAGCAAACACGTTTGGTTCCATGCTTTTTATTCACTTGGTATTTTTAATTGATCTGGTCAAAAGATAATTTTTTAGTATTAACTTTTAATAAACAGATGATAATAGATAAGGAAAAATAAAGATAAAATGATAAATTGATCCGATAGGGATCACATCCGCACTCAAAAAATATAAATCTTTGTCAAATGCTGTGTTAATAATGTTTGCTATTTTTTTAAAAATTGGCCTGTTTTTGAATCTCTCTTTGGTGCTATGTAAACCATCCAAAACACTTTCTGATGCAATTACTGCAACTTGTCAAGTGAGTTTCCTTGCTCAGCGTGTTCTTTACGATATATTTTTACTTTAATAATTTTGCAAGGCTTGTCATTCTATAAATTATGAGAAAATTAATATTCACTTGGTTCCACATTCGCACGATGACGTAGGGTGGCTTAAAACCGTCGAACAATACTATTACGGCTGTAAGTATTCCAATATTTTTTTAGTAATTTTCTTTATTTAGTAATTTTCTGGTAGCCAAAAAAAATATTCAATACGCTGGAGTGCAGTATATTATCAGTTCGTCACTTCAAGCTTTAAAAGGCCATCCTCACCGTCGTTACATTCAAGTCGAGTCCGCTTTCTTCTGGAAATGGTGGCAAAACCAAGAAGAAGCTCTAAGGCAAGAAGTGATCGAATTGGTCAACAATGGCCAATTGGAAATAGTCAACGGAGCTTGGTCGATGAACGACGAAGCAGCTTCGAATTATCAATCAATCATCGATCAGTTTACTTGGGGTTTTAGGTTTTTGAATGACAATTTAGGCAAATGTGCCCGTCCAAAAGTGGGTTGGCAGATCGACCCGTTTGGGCATAGTAGAGAGCATGCCTCAATTTTAACCCAGTTGGGCTTCCAAGGTTTAGTTATCGGACGATTAGACTACAGGGATAAAAATAAAAGGAAAGAGGAGAAAAATTTAGACTTTGTGTGGCAAAGCAGTGTTAATTTGAATAACTCTGAGATTTTTACAACAATGTTTCCCGATTTTTACGTCAGTATTAGAGGTTACTGTTTTGATATACTCTGCAATGATGAATCAATTAACGATAATGAAAAAAGCCTAGAATTTAATTTGAAAGAAAAAGTAAAACGAGCGATTAGTGAGTTTTAATAATAAATAATAACCCTTGAGTTTTTAAGGTTGACGGGTTTGCCTCTAAAATGGATCAGTTTAAAGAATACTACAAAACAAAAAATATTCTACTACCCATGGGCGGTGATTTTAATTATCAAGCAGCAGAAATCAATTTTTCAAATATAGATAAACTTATCAAGTATTGATCGCGAGTCATTTTATAACTTTCTGATAAGAGAGACAACTTTTTAGAGGGTTTCAGGGCCACGAGAGGTACAACGTCTTTTATTCAACTCCTTCTTGTTACATAGCAGCTGTCAATGAAGAAGTTAAAAGAAAAGGTATTACATTGCAAAAGAAAACTGATGATTTTTTTCCATACGCATCGGAAAAACACGCTTTTTGGACGGGATATTTCACATCAAGACCTACTTCAAAGAGATTTGAAAGAGTCGGAAATAATATTCTTCAAGCAACCAAACAATTAACCGCTTTCTCTAGAATTAAAGGAAAGGATAAGTCAGACTCAATTGATAATTTACGTGATGTTATGGGCATAATGCAACATCATGATGCTATAACTGGTACTGAAAAAGAAGCGGTTGCTAAAGATTACGCTAGATTGCTTACTAGTGCTATAAGAGACGCTGAAGCACCCGTCGGAATGATCATTGGGTTTGTTAAAACTGTTTAAAAAAAATTAAACGTAAAAAAGCAGTTTTTCAGAGACCTTCTTAAGAAGAATCCTGCTAGTGAAGTTGATTTAAAATTATCGACTTGTTTGTTGGCAAATGTGAGTATTTGTGAAACTTCAAAAAAAGACAAGTTTGTAGTAACGGTTTATAATCCCTTATCACGGGTTGTAAATCACTATGTACGATTGCCCGTTGATGGTACTAATTATAAAATTACTGGACCTGACGGTGAAGAAGAATATGACATTTTTGAAAGCATTTCTTCTTTTGAATATATCTCTGAAAAAACAAAGCCAAGTTCCAAAGAACTTGTTTTTGCAGCTAGAAAACTACCTCCACTAGGACTAAAATTATATTATGTTGAAAAATTGGAAGGAGAATTTACTCAATTACGTGGTTTTGACGATATCAAAGACGACACGTATGGGTCCGAGGTAATTACATATTATTAAATTGAATATTTGGAACAACTATTAATTACGTTATTAGTATGATGCTTTTACAATTGATCACACCTCCGGAATGCTTTCTTCTGTTACAATACGAGGACTAACTTTGAATATTACTCAAGAATTTTTTTATTATTCTGGTGCCGGTGTTCGTGGATACAGAGCTTCTGGTGCTTATATTTTCCGACCAGAAGAAATACAACCTAAACATATTAAATCAAACAAAATCGGTGTTAAAGCCGCTAAAGGAAAGCTTGTGGATGAAGTTTTACAAACTTACAATTCAGAAATTACACAAATTATTCGTGTTTATAAAGGCGGTGAAGGTTACATTGAATTTGACTGGTTAGTAGGTGACCTGCAAACGTAAGTCTTAAAATCCCAAATTGGTAAATTTTAATTTCTAAGACTAGAGGTGGAACTGGAAAAGAAGTTATCACGCGTTTTGAGGTACAAAATTTTACCAATAGTGGAATATTTTTTACTGATTCAAACGGAAGAGAACAAATCAAGAGAGAATTAAATAAAAGAAGCGATTATGAATATGACTTCAACGATGAACCAGTGTCTAGTAATTATTATCCAGTTACATCAAAAATTGTCATCAAAGACTTGGAGAATGATTTGGAGGTTGCAGTTTTGAATGACAGAGCTCAGGGTGGTACTAGTTTGAAAGATGGTGTTATTGAATTGATGGTACATCGAAAACTGGTTCACGACGATGGGTTTGGCGTTGGTGAAGCGTTAAGAGAAGTTGAATATGGTCGCGGATTGTATGCAAGAGGGCAACATTATCTGGTCTTTGGTTCTGCAGAAAACAATGTTGAAAGTGGTACAATTGTCAACAAATTTGGAATAATGTATTTTAGCGAATTTTTAGGTAAATCAACGGCTGCTTATGAACGTGATTTGGCACACCAGAAATTGCTCGCACCTTGGGTTCTAGTTGCTAATGCCTCAAGTGAAGAAATGAATTCGTTGGAAAAAACACAAGAATTAGTCAATTTTAAGGTAGCAATTATTTTTTTCTTAAATTTGTAATTATTTTATTAATTTTTTAGTTTGAAGGCCTTACTAAGTTACTTCCCGAAAATGTTAAAATATTGACTTTGGAGCCATGGCAAGACAATACATATATTTTAAGGTTGGAGCACACTTTGGAAAAAGATGAAGATGCTGTTTTGTCACAAAGAGTTGTTGTTGATATAGAAGTATTTACGAATAATAACTGTTTTAATTGATATAATTTATTAATTAAAAATATTTCAGAATCTTTTCTGGGCGTTTTCTATTTCTGAAATTGGCGAGACAACGCTAGGGGCTAATCAGTGGTTGGATGACTACGAAAAAGAAGAGAAATTAATATGGAATGACAATTTACCAACCCCTTGGACGAAATTAAATCCAAGTGATCCTCTGAAAATCGAACTAAATCCCATGCAAATAAGAACTTTTATTATAAAAGTCGATACAAAATAATATTTTACTAATTTTATTGATAACTTTATGTGTAATAAATTTAGTGTACAAAATACATTGTTGTTCATTATTTTATTCCATTTCATCATAAAATGAAAAAAGACATCTGAAGTGGGTGAATATGGAACATCTATTATACTAGAACCAAGCTTTTGTTACTGCACTTCCTGTTTCAAAAGAAGCTATTGTATCTATTCATTTTATTGATCATTCAAGGTTTAATGTATTATTTTTTTGTTTTCTAATTATACGAGTATCTTCAAATTTTGTAACTTTTGTGTGACGTTAAAAAGTAATGCTAAATAAATAATGCTATTCTTACGAAATTAAATGAAAAAATTAAAACAAGTTTAGAAATTTGAATACTGCATAAACCTCTGTTGTCTGTTGTTGTAAATAAACGAATTAATTACTATATGATTTTTTAAGAACTAAGTTTAATTTGTTTTTTTATATTTTAATAACAAAAATATTATGGAGTGAAGGTATTTTATGCCATATTTTATTTCTACATAAAATTATTGTTCATTTTCTGTCAACTTGTCAACTATTTTAAATTATTATTAAATTAAAAGCGTAATTTTCTAAATCACATTAAAATTTTTCGCATTCTTTTGGTTACCTACATTTTACTTTTGATATCATGTTGAAAAACACAGTTTTTAGGTATGAAACTAATGATAACAATTCTACCATTATGTCAATTGAAGGTCAAAATGAGATATTAAAACAAAATTTTATTTAAATTTATAAGCTTTTACTCATATAAATTTAAAAGATTTGCAAATTTTTAGCAACGCAACAAGATGGAAAATATTTATTTGGTTTTAATTGAGATGATAGTGATAACTTCTAGGACGATTACCACAAGTTCACAAACTATTATTTCCTTATGCAATACTGCTATCTGTGAACTATAATGATAAAAATAAATTTCATCCGTTCAAAACTGTTATCCATGACATATATACGAATCTAATAAACAAATTTGACTTGTTCTCTTTGTTCGGTGATATTCCTGGGCCTTTTCCTGGCTCAGATTCATTGCTGGACCAGTCATTTACAAATCCGATTAATTCTCGGTAAAATCCGCTAAAAGAAGCATCGATAGCATCTAAAATTTAAGTGGCTTTTAGTTAATTTCCATAACGACAATCTTGCCAACATATAAAGCAAAGCAAACATGTAGACTAAATTACATCAGTTCGAACGATGGATCACCGTACACTAATTATACTCCTCTCCTTAAACCTCTTAACTGCTTCCGTTCCTGTGAAGCGAGGAGCAAAAGCCACTTGTAACGTAAGTCTTGAACATAACAAAGACCAACGTTAATATTTGATTGCAGTCTTGTCATGATACCGAAGAAGGAAAAATAAACATCCACTTAGTGCCGCATTCGCACGACGATGTCGGCTGGCTCAAGACAGTGGACCAATACTATTACGGATCTGGAGGTATTGTAATTAAATTTCGAGCCCCAACGGTCGAGTAATTGTTTAATTGGTAGTTGCCAACACTCAGCAAGACGCAGGTGTGCAGTATATAATTGCGTCGGCCGTGGAGGCCCTGAAAAGCCATCCGGAGCGAAGGTAACAAGAAAATATTTGTTTCCTAATTTAAGATTTACCTTTGGAGATTTATACAAGTCGAGACTGCTTTCTTCTGGAAATGGTGGCAAAAACAAAACGGCCGGGTCAAGCAGGACGTGGTTGATTTGGTTAATAATGGACAATTGGAGATTATTAATGGGGCTTGGTCCATGAATGATGAGGCGGCGTCTCATTATCACTCAACCATAGATCAGTACACTTGGGGCTTCCGGTAAATTTGCATAATTTAACTTTGTTTATTTGTTTGTCTCAAGGATTTTGAACGATACTCTAGGTGAATGTGCAAGGCCAAAATTCGGCTGGCAGATTGATCCGTTCGGACATAGCAGAGAACATGCCTCGCTACTCGCTCAACTTGGTTTTCAAGGTTTGGTTGTTGGACGAATTGATTACAGAGATAAAGAGAAAAGAAGAGAGAACGGAAATTTGGATTTACTGTGGCATTCAAGTGCCAATTTAGGTAATTCTGGATTGTCAAAACGTTTTTTCTGATTTCTTATCAATTTCAAGTATTGCAGAAAACTCAGAAATATTTACTACAATGTTTCCCGATCTCTACGTCTCAGAATCAGGCTTTTGCTTCGATATAATTTGTTCCGATAGAACTATAATCGACGACGAAGAAAGCCCAGAATATAACTTACAAGAAAAAGTTGAACAGTTTGCTCAAAAAATGGATACTTATGTCGGCTATTACTCAACATCAAATCTCCTTATCCCAATGGGTGGAGATTTTCATTATCAAGCAGCAGAAATTAACTTTTCAAACTTAGATAAACTTATCAAGTAATTGATTATACTCAATGAGTACTCAACTTTACAAAACAATTTTCTAGAGGATTTAAAAATCACAGAAAATACAATGTTTTTTATTCAACTCCGTCCTGTTACATCGAAGCCGTAAACAAGGAGCTTACCAAAAACTCAAAAGAACTGACTGAAAAAACAGATGACTTCTTCCCATACGCTTCTGATAATCATTCATTTTGGACTGGATATTTTACGTCAAGGCCGACTTCCAAAAGATATGAAAGACAGGCAAACAATATCCTCCAAAGTGCCAAACAACTCGCCGCCTTTTCGAAGGTAAATGGACAAAATTTTGACAATAGTCTTGATGCTCTGAGGGCAGCTATAGGGGTGATGCAACACCATGATGCTATTACAGGGACTGAAAAACAAGCGGTAGCTGACGACTATACTCGAATTCTTACTAAAGCATTAAGGGAGGTTGAATCACCTGCTGGGATTATTGTTGGGTGAGTTAACAATACTATAGCAAACTTAAATTGAAATGAAACATTTAGCAATCTTTTGAAGAAGAATTCCGAAGAAGTTAATTTAAATCTGACAACTTGCCTTTTAGCCAACATGAGCATTTGTCAAGAGTCACAACAAGATAAATTTTTAGTTGTTGTCCAAAATCCTCTTTCTAGAATTGTTACTCATTATTTACGACTTCCTGTTGATGGTGACAGTTATAAAATCGTAGGTCCAGACGGGGAAGAAATATATGATATTTTTGATACAATTCACAGCTTTGATTACGTGGATGAAGACACAAAACCAAGTTCAAAAGAATTAGTTTTTGCGGCTAGAGACTTACCTCCTCTAGGTCTTAAACTTTATTATGTCGAAAAACTTAATACATCTTCAACTAGTTATAAGTCTTTTAAAGAAATTAATTCAGATGATACTTATTTTGGAACTGAGGTTAATTAGTCTATATTTCCAAATGAAAGAAAATTATTAAAAGTATTTGATTTCAGACAAACGGTTTTAATGTTGATAATGAAACTGGTAAAATTACATCAATAACAATTAGGGGCAATAAACTAGATATAACGCAAGATTTTTTCTACTATACTGGTTTCAAGGGTAGCAACGGTGGTAGTGAAAATCGAGCATCTGGAGCGTATATTTTTAGACCAACTCAAACCGAAGCAATACCTTTCACCACACAAGCAATCACTTTTAAAAGTGCTAAAGGAAATCTTGTCGATCAGTTTATTCAAATCTATAACTACGAACTAACTCAAATTATTCGAGTTTATAAAGGAGAAGAAGATGCTTACATTGAATTTGATTGGCTTGTTGGACATCTGCAAAGGTTTGTTTGGTTAAGTTTTTGATTTAACAAATTAAAATTTTAACTTTTAGGGTCGATCAAAAAGGCAAAGAAGTAATTACGAGATTTACGGTTGATAATTTTACCAATGCTGGTGTATTTTATACTGACTCCAATGGTCGTGAGCAAATTAGACGGGAACTGAATACCAGGAACGATTATGAGTATGATTCCGAGGAAGAACCGGTTGCTAGTAACTACTACCCTGTAACTTCCAAAATTGTTATCAAAGATGAAAATAGATGCTTGGAGGTAGCTGTGTTAAATGATAGAGCCCAAGGTGGCTCCAGTTTGACCGAAGGAAGTATTGAATTAATGATTCACAGAAGTTGTTCGCGAGATGATTCTTTCGGAGTGGAAGAAGTTTTAAATGAGCGACAATACGGTATAGGGATTTATGTTCGAGGTCAACATTTTCTTACATTCGGGTCTACAGAATTTACTGTTGAAAATGGTAGGTAGCTAAAGTTATAGACAAATTTCTTCTGAATTATATTTATTTTTAAGGGACTTCTACACCAGCTTTTGAACGAGATTTGGCACAGAAAAAACTACTATCGCCTTGGATACTCGTAGCGGATGTCACTGACGAGAAATTTGATTCTTTAGAAAAAGTACAGAATTTATTGCATTTTCAGGTAGGTAGATTCAAGTAACAACTATATTAAGAATAATAATTATAATACTATTTTTACAAGTTGGAAGGTCTTACAAAATCATTACCCAATAATGTACACATTTTAACTTTTGAACCTTGGAGAGACGATACTTACTTATTACGCCTGGAACACTTTTTAGAGAAGGACGAAGATGCTAAATTGTCACAAGCTGTTACAATTGATTTAGAGGTAAATTAGTTCAAGCTCTTTTATAGGTAGCTGACAACTAATTTGAAGGGACTCTTTGCCACTTTCAATATCAGTGACATTGTTGAAACGACTCTGGGTGGGAATCAATTGTTGGATGACTACAATAATGAAGAAAAACTAATTTGGAACGGCATTGTTCGCAGGCCTTTAGCTAAATTGGATCCAGATAATCTCTTACAAATTGAATTGGGTCCTATGCAAATTAGAACTTTTATTGTAAAAGTAACAAAAAAATAACGATGCTAATTCTATTTAAAACTTTTCAATATACGTATTACTTTTCTTATACTCGGTGTTTTTCTGTGTTGTATTAGTACCGAAAGAATAAGCCTATCTTTATTGTACCACTTAAATCAAAGTGATACCTAACCAATTTGTCAATTTTTACAGGATATGATTGATCTGCAAAAAATGCGATAAATTCTAAAGTCTAAAGTAATATAAAGGATGTTCCGTTTTTATTGTTACAAATTTAAACAAGTGATAGAATATTAAATTTTAAGACAAAAGTTTCCTATTAATATGTATTAAAAAATGTTATGTCAGTAAGGGGTGCGTTTTTAATGGGGTTTTTCCACTATTGCAGAATATATAAAACTACAAAAGTTGGTCTGATAACCTTTAAACACCTGAACAAATTCAAAGATCAGTTGCCAAATTTTTTTAACACGGGCGTCTTAAACGGTAAGAGAATTTAATTTTTAATTTTTATCCTATTTAAGGTCTGTAAACTCAATTTACTCAAAAACGGTAAATTGTATCGAAAAAACGCAAGAGACCTATTTTTTGTCAAAAACTATGAAATTTAGAATTTTGTGACTGAAAGTGGCAAGAACCAACAACCAAAACAGTTAGGGTACTTTTTACCCTAAACCCCCCAAAATTAGGATACTCCTGAGTAAAAACTTTGACATTTTATTTTTGAATTCGTTTGGGTGTATAAAGGTTATCACTTGTACCAAATTTTGTAATTTTATCTACAATAGTTTCTGAAATATTGAAAAAAATCCATTAAATGATGCACCGCTTTGAGGGAGTGTAGCTTCCTCGCGTAGCATTTTTCGATACATGTTTATAGAAACTTTTATCTTAAAATTGAATATTCTGTCACCTGTTTAAATTTGCAATGTTAAAAGCGGAACATTCTGTATATAAAGTTTAAATCTAATATTGACACAACGCAGGAAATAAGGAAATATTCTGCGAAATAAAAATTCATATCATTGTTTATCATTTATTGCATAAAGTAGGATTTTATTTATGAAAAAAATTTCGATTTCGTTTCTCATCTAAAAAATGTCACTAAGACAATATAAATTTTAACCACAATCAACTCTAGAATGAAACCAAAATTATCCAAATTTAATAATTAATAATTATTAATATAATAATTTAACTATTAATAATTAATAGTTTTTGTTATATCTACTAATAGGTAAAGTAAAAATTTTTCCACAAAAAATGGATTTTTTTTATTATTTTTTTACAAAGGTAAAAAACACTTGATTTTTATCTTATCAAGGATCTCGATATGTTCTGCTCGATATAAATATGACGTAAAATTTTTATCCATAATACGTATAGTTTGATTGTTGAACAAACCCAAAATTATGTTAGTGTTACTTCTGTTAGGTCTAGAACTGTATTTTGTAGTTTCTAGTCCTATTACAGGAACAGAAAGCACATGTGCTAGTAAATCGGTAAGAAATGATCAAAATTTTTGATTGACAATACTATTTGACATTTAATTGTAGACTTGCAAGCCTATAGACGACGAAAAAATTAATGTGCATCTGGTTCCACACTCTCATGATGATGTCGGTTGGTTAAAAACGTACGAGGAGTACTACCACGGAACTGGACGTAAGCACCCTTATTTTGTTTCAAACCTCTAATATAATTGACACCCACTAAAAGAATTTAATAGTTACGAAAATGCGGGAGTTCAATACATTCTAGACTCAACCATTCAGGCTTTGTCAGCCAATTCTGAACGAAGGTAGCAAGAACGATGCATCTTCTCAAACATAATATGTGTTTGAAAATTTTAGATTTATTCAAGTCGAAACTGCATTCTTCTGGAGATGGTGGAACGACCAAACAACCGACATACGTAAACAAGTCATAAGTTTAGTTAATACTGGTCAACTAGAAATGATTAACGGAGCTTGGTCTATGAATGATGAAGCAGCAGCTCATTATCAATCCATTATCGATCAGTTTACTTGGGGTTTCAGGATTTTGGACGATACTGTTGGGGAATGTGGAAAACCTAAAATTGGGTGGCAAATTGATCCTTTCGGTCACAGTCGTGAACATGCTTCAATCATGAAGCAGTTGGGTTTCGAAGGGTTAGTCATTGGCCGTCTGGATTACAGAGATAAAGACAAAAGGAAACAAGAAAAAAATTTAGATTTTATGTGGAATACGAACGATAATTTTGACGATGCCCAAATATTTACTACGATGTTTCCAGATTTTTACGTTAGTGAAAGTGGATTCTGCTTTGATGTTACTTGCTATGATACTACTAATATTACCGATGATAACATTGACGATAAAGTGAGTTAAAACATTTTATCTTTTTAAGTGATTCTGAATTGTATATTTAAAGGTTAAAGAATTCACTGGGAGATTAGATACATATAAAGAATATTACCAAACAAAAAATATTTTATTACCTATGGGCGGTGATTTCACTTTTCAAAAGGCTGAAATTAATTTCGCAAGCATAGATAAACTAATTGAGTGAGTACACATACGATAATAACTAGATTTTTACAAAAACATTTTTTTATTTCAGAGGTTTTAAAAACCATGAAAAGTACAACGTCATATACTCAACACCTTCTTGTTACATAAAAGCAGTTAAAGATGAAGTTAAAAAGAATAATATTATATTGAAAGTAAAGTCAGACGATTTCTTCCCCTACGCATCCGATTCCCACTCTTTTTGGACCGGCTACTTTACTTCACGACCAGCTTCAAAAAGATTTGAACGAATTGGTAACAACATTCTTCAAAGCGCTAAACAACTCACAACTTTCTCTCGAATTAATGGGAATGACGACGACAAGAATATTCTCAAACTAAGAATGGCAATGGGTGTCATGCAACATCACGACGCCATTACTGGTACCGAGAAACAAGCGGTTACTGATGATTATAGTCTTCAGCTTGATGAAGCAATCAAAGAAGCTCAAAAACCTCTTAGTAATATTATTAGAGATCTTCTCAAAAAGAACGACAATGTCAGTGTTGATCTTAAATTATCTACTTGTCTGTTGTCAAATGTTAGTATATGTGACACCACACAAAATGACCGTTTTCTGGTTGCTATTCAAAATCCACTTTCGAAAACTGTATCACATTACGTACGTCTTCCAGTTGATGGAGATAATTACAAAGTAACAGGACCTGATGACGAGGAAATTAAATACGACATGTTCGATGCTATGCACGATTTCGGTTTTATTAAAGGTGCTACACCGGCCAAAAAAGAGTTGGTGTTCCAAGCTGCAGATTTGCCACCACTGGGTATAAAATTGTTCTACGTCGAGAAAATTGATGGAATCTCAAAATCATACCATAAATTTGAAGACGTTACAACTGATCGTGCATTCGGGGACCAGGTATATATTATACTATCTGGAGTTAAAATACAAACAACAATTGAAGTAAAATTGTAGAAATCTAACGGTTTTACGATCGATACAAAAGGAAAATTAGCGACAATAACAATTAATGGACAACATCTAAATATTGTGCAAGACTTTTTCTTTTATAATGGCTATAGTGGTAGTTCCAGCAGTGCTGTTAATAGAGCATCTGGTGCTTACATTTTTCGACCAGACGGAGAAGCTATACAGGTAGCAACAGCCTTACCAAAACTACAATTTGCAAAAGGTGATCTTGTTGATGAAATTTTACAAGTATACAACGACGAAATCACTCAAGTTATAAGAGTATATAAGGGAAAAGACGATAGTTATATTGAATTTGACTGGCTTGTAGGGGATCTTAAACTGTAAGTCAAATTTTGCTTTTTTTTACTTTTGTTAATAATTTCGGTCACAGTGGTGACAAAGGGAAGGAGGTGTTTACAAAATTTACGGCAAGTTCTATTAAAAACAACGAGATCTTCTACACTGATGCCAACGGACGTCAGCAAATCAAAAGACAAAGAAACAAAAGAAGCGATTACGATTATGACTCCAGTGAAGAACCTGTTACCAGCAACTATTACCCTATTACTTCTAAAATTGTGATCAAAGACGAAACTCAAAAACTGGAAGTCGCTGTTTTAAATGATCGCGCCCAAGGTGGAAGTAGTTTGAAAGATGGAGAAATTGAATTGATGATTCACCGAAGAGAAAAAGCTGACGACAGTTTTGGTGTTAACGAAGTACTAAATGAACAACAGTACGGAAAAGGTCTTTATGTTCGTGGACAGCACTACTTAACGTTAGGAAAAACTGATGGTAAGGACTAAGCAAAGACCGCCAAAATCTATGTAGAGATGTAATAAACATTATTTCAGGCTCAGGAGCCGTTTTGGAACGAGATTTAGCTCACAAAAAACTTCTTGCACCTCTTGTTTTGGTCGGAAATGCTGAAAATCTTACATTAGATCAACTGAAAGAAGAAATTAATTTTAAAGTGTGTTTCATTTATCATTTGTCACTTTTACAGTTTTGATATTTTTTTTCAGTTTGAAGGTCTTAAAACATCACTTCCGGATAATGTCCAAATGTTAACTTTAGAGCCATGGAATAACAGTTACATTTTACGATTAGAACATATTTTCGAAAACAATGAAGACACTGAAATGTCAAAAGAGGTCACCATTGATCTTACTGTAAAAAAAAATGCACAAAAATCTTCTTATGACACTTACTTATTTTATTTTAGGATCTTTTCAGTTTATTTAATATTACGGAGCTTATACCAGTAACTTTAGGCGCTAACCAAAAACTCGAAACTGGGGACAGTAGTGTCATTAAACGTTTTGCAAGGGCCTTAAAGTTAACTGACGATAGTACAGATCTTAAAATTACCCTTAAACCAATGGAAATTAAAACTTTTATTTTTAAAACTGATAAAAATAATGACGGCGGTGAGGATAACGGAACCACTGATGGCAAGGACGATAGCAACAATAGTCAAGCTTTGAGCTCTACCTCAATGCTAGTTGTCTTTATGTCGACTATTTATATGCTTTTCTAAGCAAGTTTAAATATTCTGGCATAAAAGTCGTCTAATAATAAATGTACTTTCTGGAAATATTTTTACCGATTTTTATTATACTCGAAATACCTACCTATTCTAATTGCATAAATTGTTCAAAACCACAATTAAAAATTTTATAATTAATTGTAAGAATTCTAAAATTAGAAGTTGCTGTTGGTACACTATAGAAGTTGAAGAGTAAATGAAACAAATCAAATTAGATAATGAAACTAGTATCTAAAGATAGCTACTAGTAGGGTTACCACGATCTGTAATTCCTAATTTTCTAGAATCATAAATTAAATAACATCTTTCAAAACTTTTAAATTATTTTAAAGTAGTGCTCATGTCTTTTGACTTCCCTCTGATCGAACAGCAAAGTAACACAAGCACGTATCTGCCGAGCAATTCGCGAACAAACGCGGCATTTACGCAAATGGCACAAAATAAGTTCCTGGATAGATCCATAAATTGTTAATTTCCTCGCGTTTCCCTTTCCATAAATTTATTTATAACTCCCTTTCGACTACACTCCAATATTTCACCAACACAGCAAAAGTTGGCAAAGTTGAAGCACACGAATTTCCGTGATTGTTTTGCTTCAAAAGTGGAGCACCTGCGGTTTTGCCGTTAAATTTTGTTCTCTCTTTCAAACGTCTAAATTATGAATCAATATTTTCTTGCGATTTCACAACTTTCGGGTGCCGGTTTTCAGTCCTGATAATGCGATGGTCTCGATTTTTCCAGTAATTTAAGTTTAATCTAGAGTTATAAACTTGACTAACAGTGCAGAAAAATATCAGCCTGTGCAAAGCAAATTTGTCTCGCTGGCGGTTTTCTGGTGAAGCATTCCGGCTAGGAGGTCGGTCGGAAAATTAATCTGAATTTTAGACAAGCCTAAAAGTTGAAATTGTTTTGGAAAATTTAAAGAAAGAGAAATAAGAAAGTTTAGATAAGCAGACTCGTATATCAGATTAAAATTTAACATAGTATGCACATGAGCTTCGATACTTCGGAAACAGTTATAAGGCTTCGGGCAAATCTTGATAGACGTAAAGTCGATAAAAATTTTATTTTACATCAATTAAAAATGATATCAATCTTGACACGTTACTGATTTTGTTACTACGGAGACAAGGGTAAATATTTGAGTTATAAGTCTACCAAATATAAACAATACAAGTTTATTTACTTGTTGAAATATCTAAAGAGGTGCTTCACAGTATCATCAAATTACATCGTTTGAAATTTGATTCTATCTATATCTGTAAAATTTAGCGCCGTTATCACCTAAACACTTCAAGCAAACTTATTTTAAATCTCCTGTACACACAAATTGTTGTTCAAAGATGATTAAATATTTTTTGGTTATACTTTTTGTGGGAGGATTTTCATCCCCCATCAAGCGTGGGGAAGTTCCCCCATGCCAGGTAAGCTGATCTTTCAGTATATTTTGGTAAAAAATTGTGAAATTTTAGGTTTGCCATAAAACAGATCCTAATAAAATCAACGTACACTTAATCCCACATTCACATGATGATGTTGGTTGGAAAAAAACTGTTGATCAATATTTTTACGGAAGTAAGTTGGATACTTTTTAGAATTAAAAAAAAAATATATTTTAAGGCCGATCTGATATTCAAAAGGCTGGAGTTCGGTATATCATTTCCTCAACAGTGGAAGCACTTAAAAGTGATCCGGATAGGAGGTAGGTTTTGAAAATTATAGAGATTACATTTTCTCGTGTTTCATTTAGATTTGTTCAAGTCGAAACGGCATTTTTCTGGAAATGGTGGCAGCAGCAGACTGACAGTATAAAACAAGATTTTATTAATTTAGTCAATAACGGACAAATTGAAATAATTAACGCAGCGTGGTCTATGAATGATGAAGCGGCCACAAATTATCAATCCACAATCGACCAATTCACGTATGGTCTGAGGTAGTCTCATTTATGTGTTGTGATGTAAAATAATTAAATTTAATATTTAAGAACAATTAATGACACTGTGGGCAAATGTGGGACTCCTAGAATTGGTTGGCAAATTGATCCCTTTGGCCACAGTCGAGAGCAAGCTTCGATTTTTGCTCAATTGGGCTTTGACGGCGTATTTTTTGCTCGAATTGATTACAATGATCGCAACCAGAGAAAATCCGATAAAAATCTGGAAGTGATTTGGCAGGGGAGTGCAAATTTGGACAACACTGACATTTTTACAAGTATCTTTGTCGATCATTATCACGCCCCGTCTGGTTACTGCTTTGATATTGAATGTGGCGATGAAGTGTTAAACGACGACGTCAGAAGTCCTGATTATAACATCCCCAAAAAGATTGAAGATTTTCAAAAGAAAATGGAATCGACGGCCCAGTACTACCAGACAAACCATATCCTAATTACCATGGGGGGAGATTTCCAGTATCAATCAGCCGAGAAAAACTTTATCAATATGGATAAACTTATTACGTATGTTTGCTAATATCATAAAAACAAAATTTATTTTTATTTTTTCATTTTCTAGAGCTTTTAAAAACAACGAAAAAATTAATTTATTATATTCCACTCCGTCGTGTTATATTAAAGCAGTTAATGATGAGGCTACTGCTAAAAATTTAGAGTTTACACTAAAAACAGATGACTTTTTCCCATACGGTTCAGATTCTCATTGCTACTGGACTGGATATTTCACGTCACGTCCAAACTCCAAACGCCTTGAAAGAATAGCTAACAATATTTTACAAGTTAGTATAATAATAATCAGTTCTTTAGAGTTAGAACAATTGTAGTTTTATTTATCAGGCCAGTAAGCAATTGACTTCATTTTCAAAAATTAATGGTAATGATCATGAAGAAGACTTAACTCTTCTTAAACAAGCACTTGGTATTATTCAACACCATGACGCTATTACTGGCACAGCAAAAGAAGCTGTTGCTAATGATTACGTTAGGTTAATAGCTAAAGGTATTCAAAATGCCGAAACTTCATTAGGAGTTATTATAACGTATGTTGGAAAATTACAATGATCTGCAATCGTACTCTTATAAATATTTTAGAAATCAGCTCAAAAAAGACCCTTCCTCTGGCATCAATTTAAATCTAAAACATTGTTTGTTAACCAATGTTAGTATTTGTGAAGCGACCAAATCTGATCGCTTTGTGGTAACTGTTTACAATCCTCTTGAACGTCCAGTTACACATTACGTACGATTACCAGTACCAAATGGTAATTTCAAAATAACTGGTCCCGATGGTAAACTATATCAAAATTTTTTACTTTGTTTATCTAACTTCAGTTGCCAATAGGTGAAGTTTCTTCCGACTTGTTTGACAGTATTTCTAGCTTCGATTACATAGATGAGAACACCGGGGTGCCAAGCACAAAAGAATTAGTTTTTGCTGCCACTGAGGTACCTGGTTTTGGCGTGAAATTATATTATGTTCAAAAAATCACTTCAGAGTCAATTCTGATAAAGCAAACGCACAAATTCAAATTTGGAACTGATGTGAGTTTTCAACAAAAAGAAAACAAATCTTATTATTGTAAAATTTTAGACAACCGGTTTTGAAATTGACGAAAAAACTGGTCTTTTGAAATCTGTTACTATGAATGGACAAACTGTAGAAATTACTCAACAATTCTTCTATTATAACGGTTTTAATGGAGACAACAACGGTGATGAAAACCGAGCTTCTGGAGCGTATATTTTCCGTCCTAAAGAAAATGAAGCTACAGTTGTAAGTGACTCAGTCTCTGTTACTTCAACTACGGGAATTCTGGTCGACGAAGTCCATCAAAAAGTCAACGATTGGGTTACTCAAATTATCAGAGTTTATAAAGGAGTAAATGATAAATACATTGAATTTGACTGGCTTGTTGGTCCAATTGAAGTGTAAGTTTCTAACAATTTAAATTTGTTGTATGATTATTCTATGCAGAGACAAAGATAACAAAATTGGCCGTGAAATTATAAGCAGATTCACCGTTAAAGATTTTGATAATGATGAAACATTTTTTACGGACTCCAACGGACGCGAAATGATAAAAAGACAGTTAAATAAACGTAGTGACTACGAATATGATCCAACACTTGAACCTGTTGCAAGTAACTACTACCCTGTGACTTCCAAAATTGTAATTAGGGACGAGAAGAAAAAATTAGAAGTAGCGATACTTAACGATAGGGCTCAAGGAGGTTCAAGTTTACAAAATGGAGCTATTGAACTAATGGTAGGTACTTAATTTTTTGTTTGATTAATGTTTTATAAATGTAAAATCAGCTTCACAGAAGGCTTTTAAAAGATGACGCTAAAGGAGTTGAGGAACCGCTTGATGACGAAGAATTTGGACAAGGAGTAGTTGCAAGAGGACAACTTTATTTAGTCATTGGTTCAACCGATTCAAATGTAGAAAACAAATCAACAGCAGCACAGGAACGTGAATTGGCTCTGAAAAAATTATTGAGTCCGTTGGTACTAGTTGGTGATGCAACATCTGACGATTTGTCATTTGATAAAGTACAAAGTGTACTACATTTCTCTGTAAGATTAATAGAACTGAATAATTGTTTTTTTTAATTTAAGATTTTTTTTTTCAATAGTTTGAAGGACTTAGAAAAGTCCTTCCTGATAACGTCCACATTTTGACATTTGAGCCTTGGAAAGAGGACAGTTTTGTTTTAAGATTAGAACATATTTTGGAAAATAATGAAGATACAAATTTATCACAGAGTGTTAGCGTAAATCTAGAGGTAAACTACATTTTAATTAATTTTAGTAAGATTTTGAAAACCATTTTTTAGGACTTATTTGCCTTTTTTGATATTTCCGAAATCAAAGAGACAACATTAGGGGCTAATGAATGGATGGAAGACTTTGACGCTAGAACAAAATACGTGTGGAAAACTAAAAGTAATACATCTACAATAAATAAAAGTATATATGTTCCACTAAAAGCCGGAGAGCTTGAAATTACATTGAAACCAATGCAGATACGTACATTTATTATAAAAGCTTCTAAAATAAGATAAATATGTATAAATAACCCCTAAAATAAAAATTTATAAAATGTGTTAGAAATAACTAGTATCAAATTTAAAACAATAAAACCCCATATCGTTTTCGTTGAGTTCATTTCGTGTTTCTAATCAAAAGTTTTTTATTATGAAAACAACCTTGCTAAAAATTTTACTTTCATTCACAATAAAAGCTCAAAACAAATACCGATTAAATTTCACAACCAAAGACTCAATTTAGAAACAAATTTTTGCACTAATTGTTCCAAAAACTATTTGATTGAGTCTTTAAATACAATAAAAATAAAAATAAAAAATTACAGTGAGGAACGAAATAAAGTGACAGAAGTGCATGATGTTTTAGAATTTTTTTTGTGATACGATAATCTCTAAAGAAAAACTGAGAAATAATTGTTAATAATAATAATTTGAATAAATGCATTTACTCAAAAATCACATGATCTTATTTATTCATTAATTTAATAAAAACTTACTGTTGCACTTACGACGATTCTTAAACGATGATTCCAGAATATTTTTACAATTCAGAGTACCTTCAAAATTTGCGCATATTTTTAATGCAAATATGAAAATAAAATTTATTAAGTTGAGTTTTAACAAATTTCAAGCACACAATTTGTCAATCAGCGTTATTTTTTATCATACCATGAATGGCTTTGACCGACGAATTTTTTGAAAAATAATACTTTTTTGTGGATTTTAATGAGCTTTAATATTTGTTTACAAGCTGTATTTACAAATTTACAAATTATCAATTAATTAGTAGTTAAATTATCCACATGCACAATATCCCTACATAGTGCACTACCTAGGGCTTGTGTACTAAATATTTATTTGTATGTAAAAAGCTGTAATCACTTGTGGTTCCTGACTATAAAGGTTCTATGATGCTCTTATTAAAAAAAAATTGTTACTTGTCGCTTCATTTTTAATTAATTGTTTATATTTTCTTAAAAAAAACATTTGCTTGTATGGTAAAAATAGACGTGTTGCTAGTTCAATTCACAACTCCTTAATCATAATGAAAAATCTTTATCTTGAAACACTTGAGACAATTATATTTAAAAGCAACATCAACAATATTAAACTTTTAGTTACCGTTTTGATTCTATTAAATAAAAAAAATGATCAAATATTTACTCGCGTTGACGGTGCTGTTCATTGGGGGATACTCATCCCCAATAAAACGTGAAGAGGTGTCAAGCTGCCAAGTAAGTGAATCCAACTACATTTATTGTTCTGTCATTCACTCACATTAATAAAATAAACAAATATCCGAATTCAGTGCACGTCTGCATGCCACTATTAGCTATCAAAATCGAACAATTTATTTTAGGTCTGCCATGCCGTAGATCCCAACAAAATTAATGTTCATCTCATCCCTCATTCACACGATGACGTTGGATGGTTGAAAACTGTTGATCAATACTACTACGGAAGTATGTCTTCGATAAGATATTGTCAACTTGTGAAAATCAATTCGTCATATTTTTAGGTCACAATGACATACAAAAGGCCGGAGTACAATACATTATTTCATCAACAGTAGAGGCACTCAAAGCGGACCCGGATAGGAGGTAAATATTTTGATTCAAGGTCGTTGCAATTTGATTACAATCGAATTCTTATCACTGATATAAACTAATAAACAAATCAGATTTGTTCAGGTGGAAACAGCGTTTTTCTGGAAGTGGTGGCAACATCAACCCGATAACATAAGAGAAGATTTTGTTAATTTGGTCAACAACGGACAAATTGAAATTATCAATGCGGCTTGGTCCATGAATGATGAAGCAGCTGTTAATTATCAATCGACAATTGATCAATTCACCTACGGTCTTCGGTACACTAAATTTTTTTCATTTTGTTATACCTTCACGAAATGTTTTTAGATTAATTAATGAAACAATTGGAAAATGCGGAATTCCAAGAATCGGTTGGCAAATTGATCCTTTCGGTCATAGTCGGGAACAAGCTTCCATTTTTGCACAGTTGGGCTACGACGGCGTGTTCCTTGCCAGAATTGATTACAATGATCGCGACCAAAGAATCTCCGACAAGAATATGGAAGTTATTTGGAGAGGCAGTGCCAACTCTGAGAATATCAATATTTTCACAAACATTTTTCCCGATTTTTATTTTTCTCCAGCCGGCTATTGCTTTGACATTGAGTGTGGAGATGAAGTCATTAATGATGATACTAGAAGCCCCGACTACAACGTTCCAAAAAAAGTTGAAGATTTCCAAAAAAAAGTAGAATCATGGGCTGCATTTTATCAAACTAGCAATCTTCTTATCCCCATGGGAGGAGACTTCCAGTATCAATCGGCAGAAAAAAATTTTGTTAACATGGACAAACTTATAGCGTACGTTTATTTCCAACATATAAATAGCAAAACATTAGTTTATAATTTTAGTGGTTTTAAAGGCAATGACAAAATTAATATAATTTACTCAACTCCGTCTTGCTACATCAAAGCAGTGAATGATGAGGCCACTAGCAAAAATATCAAATTTACTCTAAAGACTGACGATTTCTTCCCATACGGTTCTGCTTCACATTGCTATTGGACTGGTTACTTTACTTCACGTCCTAATGCCAAACGGTTTGAAAGAACAGCTAATAACATTTTGCAGGTTTGTTAGATTACTTAATCTAATTCAAAAATTAAATAAATTAAACATTAGGCTGGCAAACAACTGGCATCATTCTCAAAAGTCAAAGGCGCTGACTATGATGATGATTTAACACTTCTAAAACAAGCAGTAGGCATTTTGCAACATCACGATGCCATTACTGGTACCGCAAAAGAAGCTGTAGCTAATGACTATTCCAGACTTTTAAACAAAGGTATTAAAAAAGCTGAACCATCATTAAACGTTATAGTAACGTAAGTAAAATAATTGTTAACAAAACTTTATACCTATCAAAAAACATTTTAGTGACCTTCTCAAAAAAGATGCTTCTTCTGACATTAACTTAAACTTAGAAACTTGCTTGTTGTCAAATGTTAGTATTTGTGAAATTACCAAATCTGATCGTTTTGTTGTATCAGTGTACAATCCTCTTGAACGGCCAGTTACACATTACGTGCGCGTGCCTGTACCAGATGGTAGTTACAAAATCACAGGACCAGATGGTAATTGTTCAACGATTGTGTACTTTGTTTGACTTATTTAATTAACAGGAGAAGAAACTGCTGATTTGGTTGACAGTATCTCTAGCTTTAGTTACGTAGATACAAATTTTGGATCGCCAAGTCCCAAAGAGTTAGTTTTTGCCGCAAACGATATTCCTGGTTTTGCAATCAAACTGTATTACGTAGAAAAAGTTTCTTCAAAATCGCTTCCAGTTAAACAATCACCTGACCTTAAATTCGGAACTGATGTAAGAATATTTTAGTTAAAAAATGTTGAAGAATCGAATTTAACAATTTTAGACAACTGGATTTGAAATTGATGAAAAAACTGGTCTTTTGAAATCTGTTACTATGAATGGACAAACTGTAAACATTACTCAACAATTCTTTTATTATCACGGTTTTAATGGAGACAACAACGGTGATGAAAACCAAGCGTCTGGAGCTTATATATTCCGCCCCAAACAAAATGAAGCTACAGTTATAAGCAATTCAATCAGTGTTACTTCAACTATCGGATCTCTAGTAGATGAAGTCCGCCAAGAAGTGAACGACTGGGTTATCCAAATTATTAGAGTTTACAAAGGCGAAAATGATAATTATATTGAATTTGATTGGCTTGTTGGTCCAATAGAAACGTAAGTGTACCTACCATAAAGATAATATTTAAACTTATTTGTAAACAGAGATAATGAATCTGGAATTGGACGAGAAATTATTAGCAGATTTACTGTTAATAATGACTTTAACAATGACGAATCCTTCTTTACCGATTCTAACGGTCGTGAACTGATTAAAAGACAGCTGAATAAACGATATGATTACGAATATGACTCAACCCTTGAACCGATTGGCAGTAACTACTATCCCGTTACTTCAAAAATTGTAATTAGAGACGAAACCAAGAAACTGGAAGTGGCGGTTCTTAACGATCGAGCTCAAGGAGGTTCGAGCTTAAACAACGGAGACATTGAACTTATGGTAAATTTTCTTTTTATGACAATAAATAACATTAATTTTGAAATTTAAAATTAGCTTCATAGACGACTTCTGGCAGACGACAACAAAGGTGTTGGCGAAAGTCTCGACGACGAAGAATTTGGACAAGGAGTAGTTGCGCGTGGTCAGCTTTACTTGGTTATAGGTTCTACTGACAATAATGTAGATGGAAGTAAATCAACAGCAGCCCAAGAACGAGAATTGGCTTTGAAGAAACTGCTTACTCCTCTAGTACTTGTTGGTGATGCTTCTTCAGACGGTCTATCTTTAGATAAAGTTCAAAGTGCTCTCAACTTTAATGTAAAACTTAATAATTTACGACTTATGTTTGTAATTACTTATTAATGGTTAATCATTTTAGTTTGAAGGTTTGAAAACTAATCTTCCTGACAATGTCCACATTTTGACTTTCGAACCCTGGAAGGAAAATAGCTATATTTTAAGACTGGAACATATTTTGGAAAATAATGAAGACGCAACTTTATCGACTACAGCAACAGTGAATCTAGAAGGTCTATTTACTCTTTTTGAAATAACTGAAATTAGAGAAACTACGTTGGGTGCTAATCAGTGGTATGATGAATATGCAGCTGAGGATAAGTACATTTGGGCGCTCAAAGATGGTGGTTCTGCGACTAATGAAAAAGATTCAATTTCACCATTGGCCGATCTGCAGATTACGTTAGATCCCATGCAAATTCGTACCTTTATAATTAAAGTTAAATAACGAATGACGATTTAATGCAATAAGAAAATAAAGTTTTTGAAAGATGTTTGAATCTTTTAGCCGAAACCAAATTTTATATGCCTTAGAAAGAGGGCAGAATCCTTAATATTTTGAGTTTTTTCAAAAAGGTATCTTAAAAACAGGACAGAATCCTTAAAAGGTTTTTCTGACTAACCCTTTAATCCTGATTTTTGTAGCCAATTGTCTTGTCCACTCCCTCGAAGACTCCTCCTATTGGCACTCATTGTTACTGAAGTTTCTGAAACAAAACAATAAAACTGTAATAAAACTAACGCATTTAGATATTTAATTAGATCCCTGCTGTTTTTGAGTTTTAATAAAACGCACCAATCTACTATTCTAACTGTTAGAAATATATAGTTAAAAACTCGAAATTATTAGTGTGGCCAAGTTTTCATTAAAGCGTAATTGCGCTTTTATGGGTGTTAAAGTTACCGTTCTGCAACATCCCATGTCGGCGATTCCGACTTTATGGCGCATTACCGTTGAAAAATCCCTCCCGCCATCAAGGGCACCCCCGACGCCATCGCTCATCTATCGATAATGCTTTTTCAGACGTCCTGGAGTCCTGGAGTTCTTGTTTATGAGCATCTCTATGCTGAAAGGGCACTCATTGATTTTGAAACGGTGCTAACTCCAATATATCAGAGTCCGAGCCTCGCTCCGGTGCGGCAGCTTTATATTGGGCATTGTCTCTGGCCCCTTTCCGGGAGGGTGACGGTGACGTTTCAGCCGTCGGTGACGTAACGATGGTAAATCCGACGCCTGCGTCGACTATTCACGGCCGACTCGATCGACTCGACGCTTAGCTAAGCCTGGAACATCAGTTCTCGGTCAGATCTGAAAGTGTGAGCTTTTCGGTCGAAGCTGTCATGTTCAGTAGCGGTACTCAACTTCCGGAATATTGCGCGGCCTCGAGGCTCATCTTGCGCTTCTAGGTGTGTATTTTAAGCAAAAAGACATTTAGGTTTAAATTATTTTCAAAAAAGGACACCTTATCCTGTATTATGAGATGTACGACTAATATCTGCAACATTTTCAGGAGCTGTGATGTTTGAAGGTTCGACATTGCTGTTTTTAAATGATTGAAGACGACTTTAAGGTATTTATCATCTTGTAAATTGTATTTAAGTAAACAGTCAATTAATTCTTATTTTTACATAAATTATGCAAGGTTCTTCTATCTACTTTTAACAAAGAAATCCGAGTTTATGTAGGTACTACCGCTTACTGTGTACAAAAACATTACATAATTGATTTGAAATCAAATCTGAAAATCAAAATTTGTGTCTTTGCTTTGTTCACAAAAGTTTGAACTTGTTGAAATTGTTAAATCAAATTTGGGTCTCTAAAATTAAAAGAAAATTTGTCATTAAAGACAAGTTAAGTCCTCGAGTACCAAAAGACTAATTGTTCAAAAGAGAAATGTGCTTCAAGCTGTCTTTAATTCGTATATTTAGTTAGACATTTAATTTTTGTGAATCCAATAAATACTCACTTCGATACCATTTATTTGATTATATGATTCAAAAATAATTACAAAGATTTTATTTAAGTTTACATATCTTGAAGCAATGATTATGTTTTCACCTAATAAGTAAATGTTTTCACCTAATAAGTAATTAAATATATTTTAACTTTTGTCAATAAAAAAGTACAATAATTTCGTCACCATAAGTTGTAAACTGTCCTTTCTTTACCAAAAAGTCGTTACACCGAGTTTCTATTAATAATGTAGCTTGCCACTGGCTTATACGCCATCAAAACTTTTTCCATTATCTTATTTTATACTGCAGACGTTATCATCTGGATCCTACAAACTTTTTTACAATTTACTTATAATATCAAATTTAAATGTATGTAAACGTCAACTACTGTACTCTAACAAAACCAACAATGCTGAAATATTTTTAATGTTTTATCAAACATTTCATGGCTGAAATGTGTCTCTCGTTTATATAAAAGCTTATTTTACAAATTCATACATTTCACTTTGTTTTCGACATCCAAAACTTGTTTCAAAGAGAGTAATTTCAATTTTGCATAAAAATATAATTAAAATCCTACATTAGTTTTTACTTGTCTGTAAATTACAAGCAAGGCAATCAATTTATTATTTTAATATTTGTGAACCACGTTCATGAAAAATGTTCATAATATACAATAATCTAACCTTATACTCAAAACGATTTACTGAAAGAGATCAAACTAAAGATATTTTAATGTTAATTTTAATAAAAATGAAGTGAAACCTAATGAAATGATGACAGTTTTGTTTTGTCTTTCGCCATAGATAAGTGTTGTAATACATAACAACTATAGTAGATGAAATGAAATTATTGTGGGTGCCAAAATAAATGCATAAAGTTTAAAAGCAGTAAAAAATTCAAATAAAATTGAAACAGAACAAATACAAAAAAAAATAAAAATTGAGTAAAATAAATACTTGTAATGTGAATGATCTGTTTTTTAAGCAATCTTGGTGGTAGAAATAAACTTAACATTAATAAAAGTTAATGCTATACGAGTAGCTTAATTTTATACCTAGTCTATTGTTGAGATTGTAACTACTAATAATTTTAAACCTTTTTTTTATAATTAAAAGTAACGGTGTTAAAATTTATTAAAATTTATATTTGTCTAAGATTTATCAAGGTTTAGTATAAATTTGGTGGATGCGCCGGGAAAACCAGTTATGCCAAAAATACAAATATGTACTAATAATGCACAGTAATAATGCAAATATTAATAATGTCTATTTGTACCTCTTTTACTTAGTTCAATAATACATACTAAATCTTCAAAAATTTCTTTAAGAATTTATTGACTATGTTAAACTATTTGTTAAATATATAAAACAATTAAAATTAAAAAAAATCAATTTATTGCAAAAATTTAAAAATTAATTAAAACCAGTTATTGTACAAATATTAAAAAATAATTAATTTTCCTTTAAAATAATAATTTTCCCTTATCAAGGAATAATCACTGATGGCCACATAAAAATTACCAAATTGGCCATTTCTTATATTTATGATGACATTAAACCTACTTGTTGTAGGTTGTAGCTTTAGTTCTCATTGTGTTTAAAAAAAGTTGCGCGACAAAAAATTTGTACAACTTTGTACAATTTATTAAAATTAAGCAATTCACTACTCCGACACCTTGGAGTGACTTGAAAAACTTGATTAAATTTTAGAAAAACTTTTAGACAACTTTAATGGCTCCATAACCGATCGCTTACGCACAGATCAAAATTGTTTTATAGATTACATTTTTAAAAGAAGTAATTATTTTAGCCCAAATAAAGTTTTATGCTATCTAATTTAATATTTAAAACTAATTTGCAACTACTGAATTGAATCAGAAAACTGAACTTTCGTTTGCAACATTCAATTTCTGTTCCTGTCAGTATTTTATAAGTTTATGACATACCTGCAGGATTACAGATAATATCATATTTCATATTTTTATGTTAAAATAAAATCCACTAAATCCGATGTTGGATTTTTCAATTTCGCTTCGAAATGTTTCAGTGGAATTACTAAAATTGACCCGAACAAAACATGAACTTTTTTCACGTCTTAAAAAAGATAAAAGAAGACGTTTTGAAAGAAAATATTTGTGTATAAATAGCAGGTGTTATTTACTTAAAGAGCCGCTTACTCCGTCTGTAATATTCAAAGAATCTCATGTTGTATTTGAAATGAAACGTCTTTGAATGCTTTTACAAACTTTCCGATTGTTTTAGCTCTTTACTACAAGAACTCTGCCAAATTAAGTTATTCTTATTTTAGCATCACGTTCTTGAACTTACACAAAAATGTGTCTAGTTACATTTTAAGCTAAAGTCAAAAAGTCTCTTTTCAACTTCATTCTCTACATTGATTGGACTAACGCAAATTAAAGTTTAAAAAAATTGCATGACTTTAACACGACAACTACTGAGATCTTAAAAAAAATAATTGGTTAAAATGAATGTAATATTTTACTTTTGTTTTAAGCGATATTAAATGCGAAGAGAGGGAATAGAGCGATGTCATTAGTTTATAAATTAGTTTGGAAATTTGGCTTTTATACTATCTCGTCTCAAGTAATAGGGTATTGGTGAACTTATAACACTAGCTATCATTTGTTATCGAAATCCGTCTGAAACCTGTTTCAGCTGCGCTTAGCTCGCGCAAAGACAGTCATTTTTTCCAGATAATGACTCCATTATTCATCCTGTGCCAAATTAATGAAACTTTATGATCCCCATCTCCCGACTCCATTCTCAGACAAATTAAACAGACCGCACCCTCCAGCCAGGCTTTGCTCTCCACCATCCGAAAGACCAAGTCAAACAGCGACACATCGATAAATTCAAATTACTCCCAAACTTTCAAAATTTTTCCCAACATTCTCCCTTCGGCAGTAAAATTTATGCACGGTCAAAAAAGATTCGGCGGTCCATCGATAACGGCGAGTTTTCCAGCCGCAACCATCAATTCGACCCTTTCCTAGCCAATTACAATCCAAAATCGGGTTAAAAAGTTAATCTGTTCTATTATTAACCGTGTCAGATACCAAAGTTTGTTCATTATGTGCTAGACTGAACTAATCATATATTGGATGGGTTTGGTCGAAAATGTGCCAAATTCTATGCAGATCTTGTACTGACCCAATTTCAACTTAAGAAAGTTAATCCTGACAGCTTTGTCGTGCTGATTCCCCCGAAATTGAGGATTAACTCAACCCCAATTACTTGGGGGCGCCTTCGGATGCAGCCGGGGCTTAGTGATTTATTTACTGGTACAACGAACGCTGTTTGGGATGAATATGCAGGTGACGTTTGACCTTTCACCAGTGGATTTACTTTCTCAGAAACGCTGCTAACTCTTGAGTGATCCAGAGAAGGTCGCCGCCTTATATTACGGTGATAATAATCCAGACTATTTGTTGCAAACTTTGCCATTATGCCGCCGGGAGACTTATTGTTGATGGATATTAAGAAGGGCTTTGTTTGAGGTTCAGAAATAATATTTTCGTTTCAAGAGCTCGCTTCTAATTACGAAGTTCCATTTAAAATCAGGTTCTGACTCAATAATTCTTTATTCGAAGCTTTACGAGACGTGAACATGGTCTTTAAATACTTGAACATTTGTGAGTTTTACAGAGTTTTTACAATGAGAATCCAATCAAAACACTATAAGTTGCTTCAAAATCAAAGTTTCACTTTCATGTGTCAATATGTGTACACGATTTGGGCATCAAACTCGAGCCAACCTTACAAGCAATTTGCCAGCAATCCCCCAGCACTTTATTCCTTCCGAAATGTTTCCTTTTATATCAACCGTGTAGCTAAATTTTTTTACAACTTGAAATAAAAATGTTCCCCCACATGGTTTTACCTTCATTCCCTACAATATGTTACGTAAACGATTTCCAATATTTTGTGCGTCTTATTTCGCCTAAGATATCCATGAACTTGAACATCCAAAACCAATTTTGCTAACAGCTGATCGATTTCGAAGTCCCGTGAGACACTAAACTTATTGACACAATTCGCCTTTTGGTTAAAAAAGTGTGTTAACGTTTCCGATTTTCTCTTAAAATGAGACGGGCAAAAAGTTGGAAATTCACATGAAACGCATCTGTGCTTTCTTTTTACCGTCGGATTGTTTGCCACACTCTGGATTAGATAGAAATGTTTTTGGCAATAATTAGCAGTTATCTTTGCGTCTGGCGTCAGTAGCAAAGCTAATTTCGTGTGCAATTGACACGAGTGTGCTTAAGAGAACCGCAACTTCGGTTTCCACTTGAATTAGTATCATCAATTAAGTTGCGTCTCGGTTTCATGTGTGAGAGGATAGAATTGCTACTCAATGAACTATCTGAATTCTAGTTGTGTATGTAAAATAGGTACACTCCATACTGAGTTTGGAGGGCTTATAATTAGGATATCGATTTTGTTTTACCGCAATGAATTGATGAAAGTTGGATTTTAGCATGGTAGGAACCAGGAGGTGTAAGAGGATTACACAAACGGTTACAACTACTGTGAAGTTACTTGTACACTATTCACTATAAAATATTTCAAACAATACAGAGGCACTCTTAATT